TTGGAGTCGAGGAGATATCCAAGTCAGCGCTTGGTCCCAAATGAACCTGACTCTTGTTGAAAGATATATATGGGCCAAGCATTTGGTTTGCAGAAAGAAATACGATTCTGTGAACCAATCAACACAGTTTGTATTGTCATAAACTGGAGTGTTTGACAAAGAACACATAATATAAATAATTTTATCTCAGGGTCATCATATTTTCAAGTTCTCCAGCACTTATTTCTATCCATTAAAAATTGTACAAAACCGTAAAAATTCACAAAAATCAAACATTGGACATAGCAGAACATCTTGCATGAACTACATTGTTCTGGAAACAATAACTATGCTGTTAAAGCGAGGTGCGTCCCAAATTCATGAATGGCGATTCATATTTATTTTTAACTTATTATTTTGAGTATCTACAAGGATCGAGTCTATCGATTCATTATTAATAAGCGTTCAAAAAGTGCAAAACTTTCACAAAGCAAATTCTAGAACTACACCGTTTTCCTAAGTAATAATTTATGGACGACGAATGTGTACACGAGTAATTTAAAGCTAAGGCCTACGTGGCACAGTGATCACATATTATTTGGCATCCAGTAATACTACTAACGTCGAAAACAGGCAACAAAAACCGCAAAAAAAAGAAAATCAAAGACGATCATTGTTGAATTTCATCAAGAAGAGGCTGAAATAAAAAGTACTAAGTAAAGGGAGTAAAATGCAAACAATCAAAAAACTACTGACCGTATCCATGCTATTTACGTCTTCCTTTATAACATCGAGAGTTTGAACCGGTAACTTACTACCATTAAAACATGTGTTCTAAATCGCCATGATTGCTCAACAATTTTGTGACACAATTGTAAAGAAAAAAACTTACCGAAGAAAATATTGGTTGTATAGTTAAGGAGTGAATTCCGTGTTTGTGAAATACTTTACGAATTTTGGGGGCGGCGGTGTCGAAGGAAGCTGGTGTACAGAATTCGATCTAAGAAAAAGCTTAGTTTTATCAGCGTAAATCAATTTTAACCAGATCCAACAAACACCCTTTTCACGAGGAACAAAAACTGCTACTTCTCTGACCTTTGAGCAGAACTTTGGTGCGGCCAAAAAACTGAAAATTTTGAGAGAAGGCCGCGATGTGGCAGGTTCACAAAGGATAGGCTTATTCTGCCTCTAATCCTCCAGCCCTTTTGCAAAAACGAGCGGTTAGCTCTTGAATACTATGTAATTTGGCAGGGTATGCAAGTGCCCGCAATCTTCAAAAAACTATTAAAAGCGGCAGTTACAAAAATATCAGATCCTTTGTAAAGTCGCAATCAAATCCAAAAAAGTGAACTAACATCAGCTGTTGCCAAATGTCGATTTCCAACGAGGGTCCAAGCACACAAACTTTGAACACCCGCGACCCCTCTGATCTGAAAAAAGGAACTAATCTATGATATAAAGTGTACTTAACAATTAGATGGAGCGCAGTAAAAGCGTGTATTTTAATACCTTCATTATATCGGCCTTCATGTCATCCAAATCCAAGAAGGCAGGGGTTCTTCGGAGTATAATACTAGCAGTCTCCCTTACAAGAGAATAAGCAGAAAAGCATATCAACGTGACCAGAGTCAGACTAAATGGTACATATTCGCATGGTTAGCAGGGCGTTCAATAACATAATAACCATTGCTATTCAGCCACAGAAGAAAAGGCCGTAACTTGGTTTTAGCCAAGCATCGGCTCATTTGAATGTAGCCAAATGTTTAGAAAAATAAGAAACTTTTTAATACACTGAGCTTGTATGGACATACCTTAGAGCAGGATCCAAATAGTCATTGAGAGCTCCCAGAGAATTTGGGAAAAACAATGCAAGAGAGGCAGTAATAATGACGAAAACTGATCCAATAGCATCAGACAAGATGTGAAGGAACACACCTCTCATATTCAGATTCTGAGCATCTAGAACACAAATGTTTCCTTAATTCTTGAGAACGAAGAATATGAAACTCACTGGCTTGCTTTTGTTTACGCCTCGCTGCTTCGCTATCTGTGAACTCCTCGATCTCCGCATTTTCGTCGAGATTAACCAATTTCAACGCAAGATGCTGGAAATCGTAATAATTATAGAGAGATCGAAAATTTAGGCGAATAAGCTAGCCTTCAAGCAGTAAAGTAAAGCAAAATAAAAGTGGAGTGGCATGCGTGAGCTATTAGCGTTAATTCCAACCAAATAAATGTAAAAAATAAAGAATCAAGCGTGGTATTATGGTGCGATAGATGCTAAAGCAAATCAGATTTCTGAAAATAAAGTTTACTGTCAAAAAAATTTGCTTCAAGCTTTACCAAATTCTGCAGGATCAGTTCTTAGAATTGCGCTTGCGCTCTGCTTTAAGCCGATACAATGGAATTTTCCCCTACATTCACCCAAAACAATACACACTCCTTTCCCAAGCGGTTAGTGAATAACAAGTTATGTGGTGCAAAAACTCAAAATTGTGCTGTGGCCTTGTAGAAGCTTGGCCTTCTGAATCCATGAATTCCAACATGAACGGAATTCACGAGAAGGCAGATAAAAACCAAAGAAGAGATTAAGAGATGAACTTAAAAACATGCACAGCACACACCCTACGGTTAAAATGTACTTTTATAACATGCGCAGGCTCACTTGTT